TCTGCTGTTTGTGACTTCTGTTGACTCTTGTTCATAGTGGTTTGCTTCCGCATATGCTTTGTAGTTCTGAATTGTGAGTTTACATTTGTCAGCGTTTTATTTGTCAGAATCCTAGGCAGCTTGTGTCGGAGACATGGGCCTCCAGAGGGGATTTGTTTCCTTCTGTGGGTGTCTTTGGATGCCACCAACCTGGGAATATTTTATGGTGCTCTCTTGGCCTGGTAGTATACATTCAAACCCCAGATTGTCATAAAACTTGATTGCTATGAACTGAATGTTCATCCCCTCCACCACACACACACTTCATTCATATGTTGAAGTCCTAATCCCCAGTGTGATGATATTTGGAGGTGGGACCTTTGGGATATAACTATGTCTTGAAGATGGAATCCTCATGAGTGAGATTAGTGCCCTGACAAGAAGAGACACGGAAAGGTCTTTTTCTTCACCATATGAGAATACAGCAAGAAGGTAACCATCTGCAAACAAGGAGAAGAGCCTTCATCAGGAAGCAAAATTGGCCAGCACCTTGATCTTGGACTTCTCAGCCTCTAGAACTGGGAGAAATAAATTGCTGTTGTTTAAGCCACCCAGTCTAGGGTATTTTTGTTATAGCAGCCTGAACTGACTGAGACATGAGTATTAAAGATCATCAGTGAGACTCTTTCCTTTTTTCTACTCCCTGGACAAGACAGATAAGTTTCTTTGGTGGATGTTGAGCAGATGTCTCCAGTATTCCCTTTTGGGTATAATTCTTTAAGACCCAGCTTTATGGGTTTCTTTGTATCAGCTCCAAACCTTGTATGCCCAAAACAGCTGCATCTTCAATGTCATTTTTATTATTTCAGCTTCATTTTTGACTTTGGATACTTTCTTACTTTTTGTGTGTGTGAACTCAGCTATTCACTTGAGAAGGTATTCCTTATATTTCACCCAGTTAGGTGTTTTCTAGCCTGCCATCCTGCCTGCCAGTGCTATTTTAAGCTGAGCCAACCTAAGATCCCACAGATCAATTATATTATGAAGCCCTTTTCTTTAGAGTATATGCCTCTTGTGGATGAGTTCATGTCCTTTGCAGAGACATGGTTGAAGCTGGAAACCATCATCCTCAGGTAACTGACGCAAGAACAGAAAGCCAAACACCAGATGTTCTCACTTGTAAGTGGGTATTAAACAATGAGAACACATGAACACAGGGAGGAGAACATCACACACTGGGGCCTGTGAGGGGGTTGGGGGCTAGGGGAGGGATAGCAGGGGGCAGAGGGGTAGGGGAGGGATAGCATTAGGAGAAATACCTAATGTAGATGATGGGGTGATGGATGCAGCAAACCACCATGGCACACGTATACCTATGTAACAAACCTGCACATTCTGCACATGTACCCCAGAACTTAAAATATAATTTAAAAAAAGAATATGCATTTTTCCATTTTTTTTTTTTTAAGACAGGGTTTCACCATGTTGACCAGGCTGGTCTTGAACTCCTGACCTCAGGTGATCCACCTGCCTCAGCCTCCCAAAGTGCTGAGATTACAGGCGTGAGCCACCATGCCTGGCCGCCCTTTTCCATTCTTATATACCTCTATTACTCTTGAATAATGTGGGGTTTGGGGTGCCAATCCCCTAAGCAGTTGAAAAATTGTTCATAACTTTTGACTTCCTCAAAACTTAACTACTAATAGCCTGCTGTTGACTGGAAGCCTTGCTGATAATGTAAATAGTCTATTAAACATATTTTGTATGTTATGTATATTAAATATTGTATTCTTATAAAATATTATAAGAAACAGAAAATGTTATTAAGAAAATCAAGAGGAAGAAAAATATAGTTACTGTTCATTAAGTGAAAGTAAATCATCATAACAATCTTCAGCCTCTTCAGCTTCATGTTGAGTAGGCTAAGGAGGAGGAGGAAAGGGGATGGGTCTCGCTGTCTCAGGAGTGGCAGAGGCAGGATAGGTAGAAGAGGTGGAAAGGGAAGCTGGAGAAGCAGGCACACTTGGTGTAACTTTTATAGAGAAAAGTCTTCCTGGAAGTGGACCTGCAAAGCTTAAACCTGTGTTGTTCAAGAACCAACTGTATTTAGAGGAAGTGCTAAATATGGGATTCAGCCCGACACCAGCTATTCCTCCTAACTGGAAACTCACTTTCCCCTGATGACGCTATTTTCCATGAAAGCCATTCCCTTTCTAACCCCAACTTTCACATTTCCTGACTCACTGGGTAAGGGGGTATCTGGGTAATCTTTGCTTTGCCCTGTACCTTCAAATTCAGTAATGCAGTATCTTTCTACAGCTTCTCCTCCTCCAACCACCAACTACTAAGTTGATTTTCTGCCTTCTCAGAAGCCAAGATCTGTCTTCTTCTGTCAAGTGAGGCATGGTGGCTCATGCCTGTAATCTGAGCTATTCAGGAGGCTGAGGCAGGAGAATTGCTTGAAACCGGAGCAGGGAGTTGCAGGGAGCCGAGATCGCACCGTTGCGCTCCATCTTGGACAACAGAGCGAGACTCTATTACAAAACAAAACAAAACAAAAAACTGCAGGTGTAACTAATAGACCAGTCAACAATATCACATGAGATGAAAGTAAAGTAGTAAGAGGTCACTGTTCTGAGGTCATTATGTTCAGGTAGAGGATAAAGAAGATAAAATTTGGACTTTGTTAACTATGAAACTTTCAGGTCCTGGCTTATAATTTATTTCCTGCTCCTCTCTGAAGTCATCCTTGGATACTTTTACATCATGTAGCTTCTAATTTCACAGCTTCTATATTTTCCCATGTCCATTACTTGCATGGTTTCTATACCTAGAAATATAGCCACACTGTGTAAATCACACTGGATTGAAAAACACTTGCTCTTTCTGATTGCTTTACTTTCTTTATTTTTATTTATTGATTTTTTTTGTGCGTGCAGAGATGGGGGGAGGATCTCACTTTGTTGCCTTGGCTGGTCTTGAACTTGTGGTCTCAATCCTCCTGCCTCAGCTTCCCAAAGTGCTGGGATTACAGGTGTGAGCCACTCTGCCCAGCTGCTTTTCCGCCTTTAACACATGCTTATGACTTTCTTTCCCTAGCTGGAATGCCCTTTGCACCTCTCTGTCAAAATCATAAGTATCCTCCAGGATTAACAAAGATATCAACTGTTGATTGAAATCTTTCCAATTGGATGTGACCTCTTTCTTTTTTGAATTCTGTAGCATTTTGTTTATACTCTCCTATGCCACTTTTTACCTTCTGCTTTGAATAATCTTATTGTCTTATTTCTAGGTAGCTCCTCTCAATGTCTAGGCATTCTTTCTCCAACAAATAATTATTGAGCAATTACTATATCCCAGGCATTAGGCGAGTTTAAGGTTATAGAAAGTAAATAAGATAGGCAGTGTTCTTCAAAGGCTATGCCTCACATAGTTCTTTAACATGGCAGATTCTCATTTTATAAAAGAACAAGGGCTTAATTAAAAACATACGTGTTTTAAAGTACAGATAAATATGGAGAAGAAAAAAGAGGTCTTCCAGCCCAGATAGCTACTGTTGACTTATTTAAAAAAGTAAAAACAATATTCCCTGGGATAAGAGAAATTTGGATACCCTTCCACGGGTGATTGTCACTGCTCTCCACCCGTCCAGTTCTCAAATGGGGTGGATGTGTGCTAAATTTTGTATCTTTCGCAAGGGGGATTTGGATTTGGAGAGCAGAGTAATGCTCCCTTGGATGTGGAGAAGCAGAACATGAATGTCTTTTTCCCAGAATGCTCTCATCCCACTCTCCCCAGATCTGTGATAAGCAGGTATTAAATTCACAAAAATATCCCTGGAATCATGCTTGCTGCCGGAAGCCTCAGTTATTATCTAGTCTCAGAATCAGAATCATCCCCATGAATATTTAAGTTGTCCGTGACAACTTCCACCAGATGGCGCCAAAGTACACCTGGGACCAGAAAGGATCTGGATCCTGCAGCCAGACCCACAGCTCTACCAGGCCCAGGGGTCATTTTATTAACCTCTCAACATCGCACTGAATTTAAATTTAAATTTAAATGTAATGTTTTAGACTTCACTTTCTGCTTTATGACCGCGGTTTTACTGTGCACGTATAGTACTAAATCATGTAAACAATACAGAAAGCTACAACACAAAAATGCTGTATCTTTTTTTTTTTTTTTTTTTTTTACAGCGGGACAGGGTCTTGTTCTGTCGTCCAGGTTGGAGTGCAGTGGCACGACTACACCTCACTGCAGCCTTGACCTCCTCGGCTCAAGCAATCCTCCTGTCTCTGCCTCCTGAGTGATTAGGACTAAAAGTAGGTGCTACGATGCCTGGCCAATTTTTTAGTTTTTGTAGAGACAGGGTCTTGCTCTGCTGCCCAGGCTGAACTCAAACTCTTGGGCTCAAGCGATCTTCTTGTTTAGGCCTCCCAAAATTCTGAGATTACAGGGGTGAGCCACCTTGCATGGCCATAAATGCTTCCATTTGTGCCTCGACAAATCCACCTAAAGCTGTTGATTCCTTCTTGCATTCTTTCCAGAAAAAAGTTATACACATGCCTGAGTATAAGCACCTACTTTATATATTTCTCCCTCTTGTTTTTGCATATGCATATTTTACCTAAGTGATCGTACTTGTAGCCTGCTGTTTATGTCTTGGAGATATTTTCTTACCCATATATATTGCACTCTCTCACATTATTCCAGTCGAATCAAATTCCATAATTTATTTCGATTGTATCTAGCATTTGGCTATGATTAGAAAGAATGCTGTCATTGAAATTTTTGACAAACATTGTTGAGAATATCCATAGAACAAACTATACGGAGAGCTTGTTGGAAGGAAGGGTACCAGCATTTTCCATTTAATGGATAGTACCAAATTGCCCTCCAGGAATGTTGTACGCTCACCAGCACTGATTATAATAAAACGTCTACATATTTGTTAGTTTTATAAGCGACGTGTGGTGTCTCCTTTGGGTTTGCGGATTCTTTGTGAATGAGGCTATTTCACTGCGGAGCTCGAGCTTCGCGCGCCTGCCTGGGAAAACACTACAGCGGTGCCCTGACTCCTCCTGTCCAGCAGGGGGCGCGGCCCCGGCCGCTCCCGCATGCGCAGTGCGCTTGGTGTCAGACGCCCCGGAGCCCGGTCGCCTGCCCGGCGCTGGCTGCTGGCTTCCCTAGACTCGGCCGTGGCGGTGGCGGCTGGCGATTCGGCGCGATCAGACCCGGGCGGAGGTGCCCCGCGCCACGCGGCATGAGCCGGTGACCGAGCGCGGGGCCGAACGGGAGGCAGCCGTGGCTGAGGTAAGCGCGGCGCGTCAGGGCGGCGGCCAGGCGGGCGCTGGGGCGGGGGATCCGGCCTCCTGGGGCCGCGGCTGGGTCGGGACCGGGGCGGAGGGTGCGCGGCCGTGGGGTGGCTCGGTGGAGGCCCGTGGGCTGCGAGCGGTCACCCCCCACCCCGCTGGGGCTGTGACAATGACTACCCGCTTTTGGAGCGCTCCGATTTCCACGCCTGCTTCTCCTTGTCCCCCGGCCGCGGCCGCGCCTGCAGCATCTTGGTACCCACCTGTCCACGCCAACCTTCGCCTCCAGTCCGCTCCCTTCTTTCCTCCCGGGACCCGCCCTTTAACCTCCGCCCTCCGCCGTGACCTCTCCCTTCCTGCTGCCACCTTCCCGCCAGCCACAGGGATCTGATTCCTCCCATGGGGACGTCCTGCGCCTCAGGGAAGGGGCTAGGGGCATGTTAGGCCGGGGACTGGGTGGCCCGGGACTAGGTGGCTGGGGACTAAGTGGTCGGGGACTGGGTGGCCGAGGGCATGTTGGGCCAGGGACTAACTAGGTGGCTGAAGGCGTGTTAGACATCGGACTGGGTTGCTGGGGCGTGTGTGCGTGTGGGGGGGGCATGTTAGGCTGGGGACTGAGTGGCTGGTGGCATGTCAGGCTGGGGACTAGATTGCTGGTGGCATGTTAGGCAGGGGACTAGGTGTTCTTGTGGTGCGTCGGGCTGGGGTCAGGGGCATGTTACATAGCTTGGAGACTAGGTGGCCAAGAGCACACTGGTTCTGGCCTTCGCCTTGAAGCCCAGGGGTGTCTGGGGCTTTGATACAGGCAGTGGGAACCAGATCTAAACACACAATTTTGAGAATCAAAGAATTGCTTGGTGTTACTGACTGGGCAGTGCTAATCTAGAAAGGCTCTTGACTTATTTGTGTGAAGATGTGGTCTTGACATATGTCCATTTAAATTCTTCTTGTAAGTCAGGTAAGTGCTCTAAGCGCTTTAACTGGACTGAGTTTGTGACGTGCAGAACTCAAAGGCTGTTCACGGTAATCAAACAGATGATTCCGTTTCCATCATTCACTGTCCCCGACTTAAGCTTCCTGGTTGCATGTGAAGGTATGAATGGATAATTAACTCTGGGGCCAGACTGCCATGCTGTGAATCCTGGCTTTGGCATTTCTAGTTGTGTCATATTGGGCCAGGTACTTAAACTTTCTGTTGTGCTATCCCCATCTGTAAAATGAAGGTAACAATAGCTTGGCTTATACTGCTATTATGATTATTAAATAAGACTATTAAGTGCCTAAAACGGACCTGGCATGTAGTAAGTGCTCAGTAAGTTTTAGATAATAATTATTTAATGATGCACATTGTATTATAATTCTCACAATTAAAAGGTCATGGTTTTTAATTAAAAATAATTTTAGGGGCATTTAGCCATAACATAACTTTAATTATAAAGAATCCTATTGAGTAAGCAATGAATTGTGGTCATTTTTTCCTTTTGCTTATATTTGGTTCCTCTGTTTTTAGGAATGGTTGGGTTAAGATCCAGTGTAACTGTGACCCGGGGAGTTCAGCTGTAAGGACCTTTCTAAAAAGGTGAAGAAGAGGCCAGGTGTGGTAGCGCACACCTGTAATCTTAACACTATGGGAGGCCGAGGTAGGCGGATCACTTGAGGGCAGGAGCTCAAGATCAGCCTGGCCAACATGGTGAAACCCCATCTCTACGAAAAATACAAAAAAAAAAAAAAAAAAAAAAGCTAGGTGTGGTGGCAGACACTTGTAATCCCAGCTACTTGTGAGGCTGAGGCAGGAGGATTGCTTGAACCCAGGAGGCAGAGGTTGCAGTGAGCTGAGATTGTTCCGCTGCACTCCAGCCTGGGTGTCGGAGTGAGACTCTGTCTCAAATAAATAAATAAATAAATAAAATGTAAAGGTTAAGACAAGAGACCGTGACTCAAAACATTGGACTAAGTGGATTGGCTATAACTTGAAGCACCAAGGAAAGGTTATTCAAGCAAATTTTAGGAATAAATAATTCCAGGAACAGAAAATGCATCTCATCCTCACAATAGATGGGGGTTAAAAGACTTTTCCAGTGACTCAGTGCTTGACAGCTAGCCAGATGATTCCAGTGTTTTGCAGGGGCAGGTTTGATGTGTTTCAAGGCGATAAAGTTTGTCAGGCTGAAATTCTTGTTTTGATCCAGGTTATGGTATTGTATGGAATAAACATTCATTAGTAGAAGATTCCTTTCAGTCTGCCGTCTTCCGGGGCTTTTAACTTCTTGGTGGCAGGGAGCAGTCTCATTGGACAGAAAGATTATGACTTCTCTTCTTGGATGATGGTTTGGAGATATTCCATCTCTTTGTGTTTCAGCATGTGAAAACTGTTGCTGGGAGGATGGGTTCTGTGTGTTACAGGGTAAGTTTGGAGTGTCCTGAGTCAGAAGCGCTGTGACTTCGGTCTAGGCTGGCAGTTTTACAAAAGGGGTCCAGTGTAGCACAGGTTTATAAAGGCAGGGGTGGTGAGAGTAATGGTGCTCTTTGGATATGTTTGTGTATGATGGGTGGTGGGAGGGGAGGGTGTTTAGAGATGGGTACAGAAAGTTCAGTCTGTGGAAATATCTAGTCATTCCCCCTCCTCCTTTGGAAATTCCTTCTTATTTAGGAAAGATAATAATCAGAGGTCATCGCATATAATAACTCAAAACTTAGATGCTAAACTGTATGTACCTATGGAGCTGGGAAGGATAGAGACATTTGTTCATTCAACAAATGTTTATGTTTATATTAAATATGTTCTGTTTTCTTTTTTTTCCTTGGAGACAGGGTCTCCATTATCGCCTGGGCTTGAGGGCAGTGATGCAGTTGTGGCTCCCTGCAGCCTCAACGTCCCGTGTTCAAGAAACCCTCCTACCTCAGCCTCCTGAGTAGCTGGGAGTATATTTGTGCACCACTACACTTGGCTAATTTTTTGTATTTTTTAGTAGAGACAGGGTCTCGCTATGTTGTCCAGGCTGTTCTCAAATTGTTAGACTCAAGTGATCCTTCTGCTTCAGCCTTCCAAAGTTCTGGGATTACAGGTGTGTGCCACTGTGCCTGGCTTAAATATATGTTCCAGATTTGGTATTAGGTACTAGGAATACTAAGCAGAGATGAATAACTGATTACAGGAAAAATCACAACCAGTAGAAGAGACAGACTTATACATAACCAATTCATAAAATGTGGCAAGTGCTAGAATGAAGTGTATAAAAGGTAATGTGGGTGCTCCCAGAGAAAATCCTCTCTAAAGCACTGCTTTAGATCCTTTAGATCCTCTCTCTCTAAAGCACTGCTTAGTAAGGGGCATTTCCCCTTTCATTTCTCATCCTTTCCCTCTCATTTCTTTTATTGTTTATTCCACCTCAAGTGCTTGCCATATCTCTCGGCTTTTATTCCTCAGAGTTTGATACAGATGTGTGGGAGTTCACTTAGCTTATGTCAACACACTTCACAAGCGTGGAGGAGTTTACATGTCTGGGGGTGTCCCTCAGCTGTTGTGGAGTGGGCTTTGGTGGTTGAATGATGTGGCTTCCCATCCTCCAAAGGGACAGCTCTGAGGTATGTTCTCTGTGTTTCTCCAGAGAGATCCTAGAAGGACTGGGCGCTGTGGCCTGGCTCAGTCTGGTAACCAGCTCAAGTGTGCACCCTTCTGATTCCTCTCTTTACTTCCTCACTCTGGCTTTCTGGATTCACCTTCTGCAAGCTACTTACACTCAAGTTGTTCTCTCTTTGTTTGGCAGAGCACAGACCAAGATAGTTGGTACTAGAAGTGGCTCTAGAAAGCAGGCTGTGAGATAGAATTGTGAAACTGGAATCACTCACCCTCAGTTGGTACCAAGGACCCCTTTGCTACTAGTATTAATTAAGTGAGGTGTTGGTAACCCGTGGTAGTTTCTAACATCACAGTTGTAGTAAGAATGTCACTGGCAGTGGGTCGCGATGGGACTCAGGTGGAAGAAAAGCATTGGCTAGTACGGTAGCTCTAGCACTTGAGCAGTGTATGGACAGTGGTAATGATAAGGATAATGCAGTTGACTGGCTCTTGTTACCTTCCTTAGAAGCCTTGAAGTAAGAGAATGCCACACCCAGATCAGCCAGATATCAACTCAAGGTACACTGTGAAAGACAGAAGGCTCTGTGGCCGAATCTCCTGCAGCTGGAGGTTAGGCTCTCTTGAAGGTCAGGCCCAGAATTTAATTATATTTGTGGCAGAACTGCAAAGGAAGCTGAATGCACAGCCTTGACAGGTTGCCTCTGCAAAGTCAGGGTGATGGTAGCAAGATGTGAGACCCTGGGACCTGGATGGAGGTATCTGGGTGGAGGCAATGAGAACTTTGAATTCCCAAATTTTCTTAGATCCCCTGTGCCAGTAGAGGTTTGCACCTCTCTGATGCAGAGGACAGCAGTCTCTCCTTGCTTGGACACTGTGCAGAGCTCTTACTTGAGGCAGATGCCTCACCGTATGATCCTTGTCCTCCTCAAGATCTGCCTTCCCCTCCCCTCAGATCTCAGCATTGCCTGAGCGGGAAAGGACAGTTTCTCAAGGAGGTACAGGACCTGGCTAATAGGGACCAAGAGAAACTAGGGAAACATGGTGGGGGTGGGGTGGGGAGAATCTTAGGGTGTTAGACCAAAGAAGGTGGTAGTGGTGGAATATAAAGCTGCAGAGGAGAGAACCTGTTGACAGGGAAGCGTTCTCTCATGATTCAGGATTTGGTGACCTAGCAAGACAGCTGGAGCCAGTCTTGTTTGAGGCTGGGCAGGCTCCTCGAAGCTTGGACACAACAGTGACCCATACCAGTGGTTTGCAACCAGGGCTGATTTTGCCTCCCCAAGGGATATTTGGCAATGTCTGGATATATTTTTGTTGTTGCAGCTGGGGGTTGCTTCTGGCTTCTACTGAGTAGGGATGCTGCTCAACCACCTCTAATGTATGGAAGAGCTCCCTACAAAAAAGAGTTACCTGGCCTAAAACGTCATGGTGCTAATGAAAGTCAAGATACTTTGGACTGCAGTAAATGGGGTGGAGGCATCAGAACTATCTTGGCCGAGTATTGAGGAAGGAATCACCTGCACCTCCTGCCTACACTCCTGGGAGGGCCTGTTCCTTTCACTCTGCTAATATGGAATGCCCAGTGAGGGGACCTGCATTTTTGAGCTCAGTGTTGGCCGTTCTCTGTAGGACAAGATCGACCTTAGAAGATGTTACTGTGGAACTGGGTTCCCAAGTATCAATGAGGATGATAGGATTCTGAAGTAGCAGAGGCCAGATGGTGGCAGTTAACCATCAGAGACAAAGTAGACATAGTGCCCAGAATGAGCAGGAAGGCTGGACTCACAGCTGGGGAATCTTGTCCCACTATGGTGTGAATAAAGCATGGTGTTTCTAAGATGGCAGCTGGCCATGGTGCTGCTTGACCTGTATAATCAGTAAAACAGAAAAAATTAAGAGCTGGCAAGTAGAAGATTGATGTCAGCTGCTACAATGGAAAACTCACTATCTCTTACCTCGTTTTCAGATATGAGCCACTTCTTGGACTCATATCCCATGAATTTCAATTCAATTTCAAGGAGAGGCTGGATCTCTTTCGGGAAAGATCTTGCAACATTCCTGCATGTATAGATGGACATTCTCCCATCCTTCCTCAAGGGAACTGCAGATCTTTATCAGACTAGCTGTTCAGCAAAGAAAATATAATGTGTAAAACTTTATAGGGCTGTTGGGTATAGGGTCCGAGCTGATACCAGTACCAGGCAACCCTCAATCAATAGTGGCTAGGTGTTGCAGATAAATGCTCTAGCCTCCCATTCTGCTTAGGGATCAGCTGTAGTCTAAATGAGCTTTCAGAGGGCCCCTGGTAGCCTTAGGAACCCCTGTGGCACACTGCAGTAACCAGCCGAAGAACACACTCTTTATTGGCTTTGCCCTGTGGCATGTCTCCTTGCTCCCTCACTGTGGCTTTCTGAGATCACCTCCCAAGTAAGTAGACTATTTGCACTCCTATCTTTGTCTCTGTCTTTTTTGGAGGGAGGGGGTGGTGTGTGTGAGGGGACTCAAACTATGATAGCAAGTAAAATGTGATGTTTAAGACTCTAACACAGTGGGTGTCAGCTCCCTCTTCCTTCCAGAGCTTCTGCTGAGGCCTCTTGGGACCCTGGAGTCAGTTCCTGTGGTTCCATGTCTCCTCCAACAATTCTTGGTGGTGTTTGACCCTTACATTTGCCTATGCTGTTGGGTATGAATCTCGTTGTGGTTTTACTTTCCATGACCTTTAATGAGACTAAACATCTTTTTATATGTTTAAGTGCTCTTTTTTCCTTTTCTGTGAAATTCCTGTTTAAGTGTGTTTTCTCTGGTTTTCTGTTTTGTTTTCTTTTTGTTTGTTTTGTTTTCTTATTGCTTCATACAGTTGTTTATTCAGGTTGCAAATCCTTATTGGTTATATGAGCTGCAGATATATTCTTCAGGCTTGCAGCTTGCCTTTTTCCTTCCTTATTGTGTTTTTGATGGAAAATCCTTAATGGTTGGTGCTTTTCGTATTTTGTTTTGGAAATCATTCTCTGCCAGATGTCACTGATATTCTCTGTTGTGTTCTAAATATTTTGTACTTTTTCCTTTTATGTTTAGTTTTAAGATCTACCTTGAATAGATTTTTCTCCCCTTTGGCTGCTTTTAATATTCTTCTTTAACTTTCTTTTTAGCAGTTTGGGTTTGATACATCTAGGTAGCATTTTCTTTGTATAAATATTCTGCTCAGTTTAGCATCTTGAGATGGTGAATTGGTATCTTTTAACATTTTTGAAAAAACTTAACAGAACGTAGTTGGATTATCATATCTGCTTCTACATTCAGTCTGTTGCAGTGTCAAAAGTCATGTAACCTCTGGAAAATGGAAGTGAAAAAAGCAAATGTCACTATTAAACTAGTATAACCCTTTGAAAGGGCCTGGGGTGCCTGAAGCATACTTTAAGCACCGCTGTTCTAAGGTTTTGGTATGATGCCTATGCTAGCTTCCTAAAAGGAGCTTTGGAATATTTCCTCTTTTTTTCTGAACTCTGGAATAATTTATGGAAAATCGGAATTATCATTTCTTGAATATTTGGTAGAACTTGGAAAAATTTCTGGGCCTGGAATTTTCTTTATAGGGAGATTTTTAAACTTTGGTTTGGTTTCTTTAATGTTATAGAACTACTCAGAGTTGCTGTTTCTCCTTGAGATGCTTTTGATAAGTATATTTTAAAATAATTTTTTCCATGCTGAGTTTTCAAATTTATTGGCATAAATTCATTGATATCGTCTTATCTTTTAAATATATGCAGCATTTAGAGTTGTGTTCCCTTTTTCAGGTATTTATTTGCACCTTTTTTTCCTTGAATTCTTGATTAATCTTACCAGAATTTTATTAGTCTGTTTTTATAAAAACAACTTTTAGCCTTATTGACCATTTCTAGTTTTCTTTTTGAATTAATTTCTGTGTTTTATTTATTATTTTCTTGTTATCTTTGGTTTCATTTTGTTGTGATATGTCTTTTTTATAGTTAATCTGCAACTCATAAAAATTTGTAAAGCTCATGTGTGAATACAATTTTTGTTCCCCTAACCTCAGTTTTGTTATACATGGAAACAATATTTTTTAAACTATGAAGGATCCATTATTGGATAGTATAATTGATCTAGTAGGTTATGGCTGTAATCCCAGCTACTCAGGAGGCTGAGACGGAGTTTCGCTCTTGTTACCCAGGCTGGAGTGCAATGGCGCGATCTCGGCTCACCGCAACCTCCGCCTCCTGGGTTCAGGCAATTCTCCTGCCTCAGCCTCCTGAGTAGCTGGGATTACAGGCACGTGCCACCATGCCCAGCTAATTTTTTGTAATTTTAGTAGAGACGGGGTTTCACCATGTTGACCAGGATGGTCTCGATCTCTTGACCTCGTGATCCACCCGCCTCGGCCTCCCAAAGTGCTAGGATTACAGGCTTGAGCCACCGCGCCCGGCCTGGCTAGAATTTTTTAAAAAGCCATAGAATAACAGAATAGAAAAATGGAGGGTTCATTGCATGTTCTGTGGCTAATACTGTATACTCACAGTACCCAGCTGAAATGTTGTCTTGTGAAACTTTATTTCAAGAGTGCAAAGGCAGACGCTATAGGGCCTCTCAAGTCCTGTGCTCAGAAATCCCAGAACATCACTTCAGCCACCTTTTCTTCGTCAAAGCAAATCGTAAAACCAGCCTAGATTCATGGGAAGGGGACATGGATTCTACATTTTGTTTGGAGAAGTGCCATGCAAATTCGGGGGTGGAAAGAATTGTTGGTGCTTGTCTTTGTGAATGAATCTACCACATTGGCCCTTTTCCTCCCTGTCTCCCTTCTCTCTCTCTCTCCCTCTTTCTCTTCCTCTCTCCATCTCTCCTGCCCCATTCCTTTCTTTATTTCTTCCATTCATCTAAATGCAACCATCACCTTCATTACAAATCATCACGGTATATTTTATTTAAAGATGAAAGATTAATTTTTTCTTATTGATACTCTTGTACTTTATCGATATTTTCCTAGTGCTGTTTTTACATTTTTTTTTATAGTTTTGTGTTCTCTCCCTCATTAGAGTAGGGTCTTTGCTTTCATCTTTGTTTCCTTCACAGTACATGATGGGGGCTCAGTAATGGTTTGAATGAATAAGTGAATGAAAACAGATTTTTTTTTTGACATGGAGTCTCACTGTGTCACCCGGGCTGGAGTGCAGTGGCACGATCTCAGCTTACTGCAACCTCCACCTCCTGGGTTCAAGCACTTGTCCTGCCTCAGCCTCCCGAGTAGCTGGGATTACAGGTGCATGCCACCACACCTGGCTGATTTTTGTATTTTTTGTAGAGATGGGGTTTTGCCATGCTGGCTAGGCTGGTCTCAAACTCCTGACCTCAGGTGATCCACCCTCCTCGGCCTCCCAAGGTGCTGGAATTATAGGCATGAGCCACCGCGCCCAGCCAAAAACAGATTTTAGAATTATGAAGCATCAGTTTGTCCAGTTAATCATTATTCTATGTTAAGCAAGTGTTTTGAAATAAAACAAAATAACCGTCTTTAGCGATTCCACTTTTGATTTCTCTGCGTTAGTCAGAGCCCTCCTTCCCAGAGTCCCACATTTGCCAGCTTCTGCTTTAAGTGAATGTATATTGATGGGGTATACTTATATTTTATATTATGTATTGATATTTATATTAAATATATGAAGTATTAAATTATGTACTACATATATTCATATATTCAGATATATATTTCTATATGTTTATAAGAAGTGTCCAAAATCCCTTTTTGTTATTTCACCACACCACTTAAGGGAAAGAAACAGGTACATTAAAAGTTGAGGCTGGGTGCAGTGGCTTACGCCGGTAACCCCTGCATGTTAGTAGGCGGAGGCAGGCCGATGGCTTGAGCGCAGGAGTTCAAGACCACACTGGGCAACATGGTGAGACCCCTTCTCTACTAAAAATACAAAAAATTAGCTGGGCCTGGTGATCGCAGCTACTCGAGAGGCTAAAATGGGAGGATCGCTTGAGCCTGGGGTGGGTGGGTGGAGGTTGCAGTGAGCTGAGGTTGCACCACTGCATTCCACCCTGAGTGACAGAGTGAGACCCTGCCTCAAAAAAAAAAAAAAAGAAAGTTGAAGAGTCTTTTCAAGTGTCATTTGCCATCCTAAATATTTGATTTTTCTTACTTCTCTCCCTGGTGACCAGGAGTGTGAGGAAGAGGCTGTCTGTGTCATTATGTGTGCGTCGGTCAAGTATAACATCCGGGGTCCTGCCCTCATCCCAAGAATGAAGACCAAGCACCGAATCTACTACATCACCCTCTTCTCCATTGTCCTCCTGGGCCTCATTGCCACCGGCATGTTTCAGTTCTGGCCCCATTCTATCGAGTCCTCCAATGACTGGAATGTAGAGAAGCGCAGCGTCCGTGATGTGCCGGTGGTCAGGCTGCCGGCCGACAGTCCCATCCCAGAGCGGGGGGATCTCAGTTGCAGAATGCACACGTGCTTTGATGTCTACCGCTGTGGCTTCAACCCAAAGAACAAAATCAAGGTGTATATCTATGCTCTGAAAAAGTACGTGGATGACTTCGGCGTCCCTGTCAGCAACACCATCTCCCGGGAGTATAATGAACTGCTCACAGCCATCTCAGACAGTGACTACTACACTGATGACATCAGCCGGGCCTGCCTGTTTGTGCCCTCCATCGATGTGCTTAACCAGAACACACTCCGCATCAAGGAGACAGCGCAAGCCTTGGCCCAGCTCTCTAGGTATCTCACACTCCTACAGCCCAGTGCCCAAGAGATTCTCGAATGGCCCTCGGGAAACTAAAGGGAAGGGAAGGACGGGAATGCTTCTGCTCTTGAGTCGGCTTTCCCAATGCTGTCTTCTTGCAGGACACGGTGTGTTTGAGGGACTGACTTGCAGCGTGAGGCCTATGGCAGCATCTGCCTGTGTGCCCGTGAAGAGTAGTCTGCTGTCACCGGCACTACCGCTGTGGGTTCCCAGCCTCTTAGAGTTTCCAAACTAAGGGTGGCTCTTCTTCCTGTGTTCTTCCTTTTAAATCTAAATATGCTCCCCACTCCTCTTAGCACTTACATAATACACATTCACTGTAAGAAGTCTGAAAATACAGGAAGCAAAAAGAAGAATCTAAGATTCATTCTGAAGTCCTGTCTCTAAGATAGAAACATTATTAATATTTTGTTGTTATTAAAAATATACATACACATGTGTATAGGTATATAAAGTTTTGTCCCAAATGGGATCACAGTACATGCTCGTTTGCTTTTTTCCCTTAATATGTCACGTATATATTTCCAAATTATGACATGATTTTATGTTCTTTTACTATATAACTTTAAGGGTTGCATAGTATTCCATTTTGGAGATGTTCTACCATATATTTAGCCAGGCTTCTCTAATTTATTTTTTGTTTCTTTTTTTTTTCTTTTTTTTGAGTTGGAGTTTTGCTCTTGTTGCCCAGGCTGGAGTGTAATAGTGCGATCTCAGCTCACTGCAACCTCCGCCTCCTGGGTTCAAGTGAGTCTCCTGCCTCAGCCTCCCGAGTAACTGGGATTACGGGATGCATTACCATGCCCGGCTAATTTTGTGTTTTTCATAGAGACAGGGTTCCTCCATGTTGGTCAGGCTGATCTGGAACTCCCAGCCTCAGGTGATCTGCCCCCCTTGGCCTACCAAAGTGCTGGGATTACAGGCGTGAGTCACCATGCCCAACCTATTTTTTGTTTCTTTAACCAAATGGTTAACATTTGTGTAGTTTTCAACTTTTCATTATTAGAAGCAGTTCTGTATGGGACAAGCTTGAAGTACATGTCTGTCTGTTTTTTCTATCATGGAGCCAGACTTGTGTCTGATGTACTGTTGGGATTTCTAGGAGTTTACTTTGCATACCTGAGAAGCGGTCCTATCTGGGCGTGGGGGTCCTTGCTGCTCATTATCCAGTAACTGACTCTTGTTTCTTCATAGTTGACATGTGAATTCTCCTACATTTTAAATTTCTTGACAGGTGGGATCGAGGTACAAATCACCTATTGTTCAACATGTTGCCTGGAGGTCCTCCAGATTATAACACAGCCCTGGATGTCCCCAGAGACAGGTAGGAGGCATATTTGGGGCTGTCATTGTAATGGGTTTCTGAGGATTAAGTAAATGCAAGATCCTTTTGTTCATGTGAAATTATATTCCTAAATCTACTGCATACTTCGTAATCAGAATTGTGTATTAAACTAGAAAATTATCCTAGATATTTTCCTCATGAAGATTTACAAGTGCTTAATCTTTTGTGGAAAACCAGTTAGGGCTTATGTCCTGGCATAGCCTCTAAAACTGTTTTCCTGCTCTGGGTTGTACACTTCTGCGTGTAACACATCCAGCCCCTGAAGGTGTGACTGGCTTGTGCTAGTTCTCTCTGAATTCGGGAGCGTTTGCCACAAGTAGATGCATAGCTTATTGAGAAAAGGCAGCATCGATACGTGAAAGTGGTACCGAAAGCCTGAGATATAGAGGGCAGTGGGGCATACTGATTCTCATTTACCGTCTGTTGTTTCCGTCAGTAGCGTTCTTTCTGTCTGTCCCTCCCTCCCTGCCTGCCTGCCTGCCTTCTTTAGTTGCCCCCTTACCTTTCCTTCCTTCTAGAAAAACCTTCCAAATAGGCAGATGTGGTGTGGAGTGGCCATGACTTCATGAGAGTGACTTTGAGTTCACTCACTGTATTCATCTGCCCTTTCATCCATGGACTGAAACGTTTTGGTGTGAGCTTTCTTGGAAAGCTCTGGCATGAGGTGCTACTTAAGGGACCTCCCTTAGTGCTTGGTTCAAGGATTTGAGGAAAGCAGAAAGTTGGGGCCCAGTATAAAGGTCCTGGGCAATACTCAAGGGGCAGGATTGTTAAGAGTTCACCTAAACTTGTTTATCACCAGTCTTATTACAGTTGGTGTGTAACTCTTAAAATCATTGTTATTGAAAAGGTAACAGCCTGAGGTATTAGCCTGAGAACAGCCTGAGGCTAGTTCTCAACTTGTTAGAGGCTAACATTATCATTTATGAAAATCAACACTTAGACTCCTTTTCCCCAGAAGATTAAATCTAAGCCTTCTTTGCTTTAAGTGATTATCTAAAGTCAGTTTTGAATTTCTGTCTGGAAATACAATTATAACTAGAAGAGACAAACACCCCAGGATCACCCCTCAACGTTGGTGTAGAGACCATTTTGGACAATAGAGGGCAGTCCGGGTGCACAAATGCTGTAGAAAGCGGCTGAACACAGGGCAATCCCGTTATTTGGCTGTCAGCGCCAGAGAAGGTGTACTTGTTCCTGAGTGGGCTACTGTTTTGTGGATTTGGTTGTTCTGGGGAAGTGAAATACTTTGGAGAACAGAGAAGGGAAGGAAAAGAGCTGTTAGGAATGTAGAGCCTCCACCTCCTGTTCTGGATTTCTTTTCAGAGGGCTTCTTTCTGTTTGGGGCATTTCACTTTTTGCTGACATTTTGGTATATGCATTCGCATGGGAGTTGGATTTTATTTTTATCAAGTGCACATGTTAAATGCAGTTTTATTCCTCTGCAGGAAGGTGTCAAGTAGACAGGAGAAAGTGTAAATACTTGCTAGTGTTTAGGTGTTAGGATCGGGAAGGTTAAATCGTTTTCCCTGTGCATGTATTTTTGTAAGGGATTATAGCCAATCCTATAGCAGGTAATGAATCACCATCTAGTCCTTCTTTGTCTTTGGTTGTGGGAAATTTCATTTTGAAACTTAGGTGGCCTTCTGGTTGTGGTAAGGAATAGGAGATTTGTTTGTTAATTTTTCTTATCCTTCTTTCTTGTTTCTGGATTTAAAGGAGGCAAGAACTGGGAATTCAGAGTGATTTTTACAGGAGCTGTATGTCAGATTGTTTGGAAATTAGAAAACAGATGGGCTAGATTAGACTGCTTTAAGATCTCCTAAAGTTCAAAGTCATAGGTGTAATTACTTAAAAATTATTTTATACAAGGACCTGGACTGAAGGGGAATGTCTGATTAGTGAATATGGTTTTTTATGCTCCTTAAATGTTTTTATTTCTCTTTCAGTTAAAAAAAATCCATATACATGATACATATACACTTTGTACAAGGGTTGAATAGCATGCAAGTGTGTAAGTAAAATGTAAAAATCTACTTTGATTCTCTCCTCTGTTTTCACTCCCTTACTGAAAGATACTTATTGTTTTTTTTTTTTTTTTTTTTTGAGATGGAGTTTCGCTCTTGTTACCCAGGCTGGAGTGCAATGGCGCGATCTCGGCTCACCGCAACCTCCGCCTCCTGGGTTCAGGCAATTCTCCTGCCTCAACCTCCTGAGTAGCTGGGATTACAGGCACACGCCACCATGCCCAGCTAATTTTTTGTAGTTTTAGTAGAGACGGGGTTTCACCATGTTGACCAGGATGGTCTAGATCTCTTGACCTCATGATCCACCTGCCTCGGCCTCCCAAAGTGCTGGGATTACAGGCTTGAGCCACTGTGCCCGGCCGATACTTATTGTTAAAATATGATATATCTTCTAGTTTTTTTCCTATGGATTTAGACATAAGCACACCTACAAACCAATCTTATTTTAACTTAAATGGGACATATTTAATGGCTTATACATGTTTAATGACTTAACTGATGTTAGTGTTCTCAGATCTGTTCTGTAATATCCTTACTACCTTAGATTTTTATTATCCTTTTTTGCAAATCTCTCTCACACATATCTACTTTTCTGTGGGTATGTATTTATTTGCTTAAACTTGTTATGGAAAATTTCACATTGTATAAAGAAGAGAGACTAGTACAGTGAGCCCCACGTATCCTCTGTCCAGCTTCGATAATCATTAGCTTGCAGCCCGTCTTGTTTCATCCTTGCTCTCATCCACCTCCACCTCCGCTGGATTGTCTAGAAACAAATCCCAGACATTAGATCATGACATCTGTAAATATTTTTGTGTGAATCTCTCCATGATACAGCCTTTTAAAAAAATGTACCTAACTATAATACAATTATCATACCTAAGAAAATTAACAGTAATTTTTCAATATCACCACATAGTCACTACATATCTAGCCTTTGCCCATATTTCCCTGTCTCACAAATATTGTTTTACAGTTTGTTTGAGTCAGTGAACAAATAGGATGACCGATAGAATCAATCAGCTTATTTGGGTTTTGTTTTATGCAAAGCCTGAAGCTTTATATTTGAAGTATTTGCAGGCCTTATTCCCTGCATAGTTTAAAGGAAAGCAAAAGACAAACTTGCAGCCTTACTGTGTTTAGGCACTGTGAATACTTACATAGCAGGAGGACAGCTGTGAGAAAAGATGCAGAACACTGGATCAGGGAAGGTGGAGAGGACGAGGCCGTGGGGAGGAAGGCTCAGTGTCAAAGGAGGCGTCCTAGAATCAGGCAGCCCTGTGAAGCGCTCAAAATGCTGGAGAACACCTCCAGTGATATAATACTTGGCCTGAGCGGAGTCATATCATCATATTAATACTTCTTTAGCTGCAGGTTTTCTCTTCAGTCTCTTGCAGCTTTGGAACTGATCTCTGATTTTGGGATACATAATGAGAAAACAGAATGTGCTGTTGAGAAATTCACTTTTCAGTCAATGTAAAACATGTGTTCTGTAAAGCAAGGGATTCTTAAGAGTATTTTCTCCATTAGAATGTAATGGAGACCTTGGCAGAAGAAGATACAGTGCCTTAAAGTCTTGTCAGTAGCAGGGCTGGCATGAGGCCAGTTTGACTAATTGCAGTGGTGGCTCTTTTTGAAATGACAAAGGGTGATTGCACGTGTATGATCTTCAGTGTAAGGCATGCTTCCGATTGCTGCTTTCCTACCGCCAGTGCTGAATGTGCACTTTAACCCCACTGGGACAGAATAACAAGTTTCGGGCCCCAGGGACAGAATTATAGTAAAGGTTGATGTGATAGACACCTGCTTCCTTTCTTTCCACATACACAACCCCTTCTCCTCTGGGGCTGTGAGTTTAACAGCCTAATCGCCCACGACCCTGGCTTACCTGGACTGCCTGGTGGCTGAATATTGCATCCATGTCTGCTTCTCTGCACATAGGCCATGGGGCCCATAGAGTCTGCTTGCCATTATGGTCATGGAACCTGCCCAAATTCATGTTGGTTGGATTCAGTGCTGCATGCTAATCAGGAAAAATAAGACCGTATGTTGGTACCAAGGATAGTCATTACATTTTACAGAGTAGACTGGCAGCTGGAGAAGTTTTTAGCCTGCACATTACCTCACTCACCAGTTCTTGGTTTCATAAAGCTTAAACAAACAGAGTGGGATTTCCAGGGGTGGTTTGAAAATCTTTGAACCTAAACTGTTCATGTTAGAAGGGAATGGAGGTTGTCATCAGGGCAGGGAGGGGATTGGTAGCAATCAATATTGCAAAAAATGTGGTTTCTCCGTTCAGACATCTTGGCTCAGACTTTGCAGTGTGTGCAACTGGCAAAGCTCTGCCCTAGAAAGTGATTTTGATGAGTTTGGGGTCCTGGGACAGAATCACAGTAAAAGTTGGTGTGATACACACCTGCTTCCTTTCTCTGATGAAGTGTCATTGTACTACTTGCTGGATGCAGTTAAAACAATGTGGTCACTGTTTGCTAATTAAGGAGAGTAAAGGCTGGTATAAGCAAACTGCAAGAGAAGCACTGAGGGTCTAATTCTAGCTTCTGCTTCCTGTAGAGGGAATTGGGTTAGTAAGACTGAGTAGCTGGAAGGGACAGTGAGAGCTAGTGGAGGCTACATGATTGACACATAGCTCTGGGATGACGGTGGAAAGAACCACTTGGGGCAGGGATTGGAGAGAGGCTGAGGTATAAGCGACGTGAGATATGATACTTTCTGGCCACCACTGCGCACCAGGCCCGTTGTCTTCTGAGATTCCAGTCAGTGGTTGGTAAGTGACTGCCCCAGCCAGTCTTCCCCTGCAGAACTGTTATTGCTGTTATTGTAAATGCGTTGAATTATAAAGCATGACGAGGGAGAGGTGGATGGGATATGAAAGAGGTAGCAGGGAGGCTGTCCATAAGGTGTCCTCTGGGCTGTGACATGTTTTAAAAACTGGCAAGTAAGGAAAGGCTATTTAGCACCCTGGGAGAAGGCTGGTGATTCAAGGAAAGAATGCAGCTGATGGTCAGGAGATGTGTGTGTAAGGCATTTAACACCGTGTCTTTATAGAAAAATGACTCAGTAAACATTAGCTGGTTTTGATAATAAAGACTCAGTAATTCCTATTCCTCTCCACAGTGCATGTCAGAATAAGTCGTTTCTTTCTCACCATTTAACAACATCCTTTGCTCTCAGGGCCTTGTTGGCTGGTGGCGGCTTTTCTACGTGGACTTACCGGCAAGGCTACGATGTCAGCATTCCTGTCTATAGTCCACTGTCGGCTGAGGTGGATCTTCCAGAGAAAGGACCAGGGTAAGGTACATTCATCCCAGCCAGGTGTGCCTTTACTGAATCTGAGATGCTGATGAGATTTAGCAGGGGTGGGTATCACAGCAACCAAAGCGTCAGTTACAGGCCAGAGTCCTTGAGGCACCCATTTTCCCACCTCCACACCAGTCTTATTCATCCTGCAGTTTGCTCTCTCTCTGTAAACTCACAGTACTGACTACCAAGTTTTCTAAATCGGAAATCTGTGTGGTGTCCTTAACTCCTTTCTCTCCTTTGTTTCCCATAGGAAGTCCTATTGATTCTACATCCTAAATACTTCCTAGGTCTGTCTGCTCCCTGACTCCTCCACCCCTACCCTAGGCTAGGTTCCTGTCCTCTCTCCATTGGATTGCTGAAACAGCTTCCTATTTGGTTTCCCTGCCTCTGGTCTTGCTACCCTCAAGTCTGATCCCTGGCTTCACATTGCCCTTAGGGTAAGATTCACATTGGGCCTTAGCCCACAGTCCCTAAAACATCTTTCAAGGCTCTCTATCATCTAACCATTATTCCACGTCTAGCTTTGTGTCTGAGAACTTTTTGCTTCTTTCAGTTCCTAGAACAAGTTGTGCCCTGTCAGTTTTTCTGGGCATCAGACACACTCTCCACCGTCTGCAGATTTTGTTCCTCATCTTCATCAGTAACATCCTACTTGTGCAAAATCTGAGAGAGCCCAGCTTGTTCTAGGAACTGAAAGAAGCAAAAAGCTCTCAGACACAAAGCTAGAGATGGAGATAGTGGTCAGATGATAGAGAGCCTTGTTAGGTTTCAGCTTGAAACCACCTACTGGGGCGGGGTGGAAGGGGTACTTTCGTGGCTTCTGCACCGGCTCCTCTGCTTTATGCTCCGACAGCAGCCTGCACGTCTCCTAGGATAAAACACATGGTGCCCATTGTGATGACTTGCTCAAAGCCTGTCTTGTTTGGATTTGGATTTTGTAAGCGCAGTGAAGCTGATGTTAGGTTTTTGTTTTTGCTTTTTGTTTTGTTTTGTTGTTTTAAATGATGGGGTCTTGCTGTTAACCAGGCTAGATTCAAACTCTTGGGCTCAAGCGATCCTCCTGCCTCAGTCTTCCAAGTAGCAGGACTGTAAGCCCATGCCACTGCATCCAGATGTTTTTTTAAACTACCATCTTTTCAGTGTCTGGCATTTCTTGGCTCATATTTTAATAAGTGAGGGAGTAAATGAAAAGGGCTGTCAGCATGGATGTGGAGCATAGACGTAACCTTTTTTTTTCTGTAGTCTGTGTAAAAATGGTGCCATTTCCTGGTGAGAATCTCAATTAGCTTTAAACAAACATGATAAAAGCATCATTTACTTATGTGGAAGAGCTCAGAAGCAGAGGCGACCAATTTATAAATTGTAACACTAAAAATTTCATATTTGTTTTCAGAAATGGGTCTCATGGAAATAGTTTCCTTGGAGAACATTAGAAGCATTCTTTAAGTATCTCAGACTTCCCCGTAGAAACCTTGTGGACTCTGAGAAGTAAGAGAACTTTTCTCAGGAGAAGACATCTCTCTCCTGTGTGTGTTTTATCCTGTGGCCTGGATATCCTGTGGACCAAATTTTGGAACTTACATTAGCCATTCGTTTAGCAAATTTTGTTCTGTAGACGATGTGTGGAGCCCAGCTGAGCTTGAGACATTTTTGCCTCTACCCTTAGGCAAGTGCAAAGCAAGACCGAGGGGTTATGGCCTCGCTGTTTAGGCCATCTTCCTGGATTTTTCTCCCTTAGTGGACTCCCAGAGTTGACTTATTTTATTTTAAAAATTGAGATTAATTTATATACCATATTATTTACTCTTTTAATGTGTGCAATTTAGTGGTTTTTAGTATATTCACAAAATTATGTAACTATCATCAGCACTGCTACCTAGTTCTAGAGCTTTTCATCACTCCACAAATAAACCTAATATCCAATAGCAGTCAGTCCTTACCTCTGTTGCCAGCAAGAATCTTTAATCTGCTTTTTGTCTCTATAGATTTGCCTATTTTGGCCATTTCCTATGAATATACTATAACTGGTCTTTTGTACCTCTTTCGTTCACTTAGCACAATGTTTCCAAGTTTTATTCATGTTGTAGCATGGAGTCAGTACTTCATTTCTTTTTTGGCTGAATATTTCATTATATGAATATACCACATTTTGTTCATCTCTTTATCAGTTGATGGAAATTTGGATTATTTCCACCTTTTAGCTCTTACGAGTAATGCTGCTATGAATATTCGTATTCAAGTTTTTGTGTAAAACTAGTTTCAGTTCTCTTGACCTAGAAGCAGAACTGCTGGGTCGTACGGTAGCTCTGTGTTTCACTTTTTGAGGAGCTGCCAAACTGTTTTCCAAAGGGGTTGCACCATTTTACATTCCCACCAGCCATGTATGAGGGTTTCAATGTCCCCAAATCCTCACTAGCCCTTGTTATTGCCTGTGTTTTTTATTCCAGGCTTTCTAGTGGATGTGAAGTTGCATCTCATTGTGGTTTTGGTTTGCATTTCCCCAATGACTAATAATTTTGAGTATCTTTTCATGTGCTTATTGGCCATTTATATAACTTCTTTGGAGAAGTGTCTATTCAGATCATTTGCCCATTTTAAAATTGAATTTTTTTTATTGTAAATCTATAAGAATTATTTATCTATTCCAGATGTTAGACCCTCATCAGATATATGATTTACAAATACTCTCTCCCATTCTATATATTGCTTTTCACTTTCATTTTTTTTGAGATGGACTTTTGCTCTTGTTGCCCAGGCTGGAGTGCAATGGCATGATCTTGGCTCACTGCAACCTCCGTCTCCCGGGTTCAAGTGATTCTCCTGCCTCAGCCTCCTGAGTAGCTAGGATTACAGGCATTTGCCACCATGCCCGGCTAATTTTGTACTTTTAGCAGAGATGGGGTTTCTCCATGTTAGTCAGGCTGGTCTCGAACTCCCAACTTCAGGTGATCCATCCGCCTTGGCTTCCCAAAGTGCTGGGATTACAGGTGTGAGCCACTGCGCCTGGCCTCACTTTCTTGATAGTATCCTTTGATGCACAAAAGTTCCTCATTTTGATGAAGTCAATTGATCTGTTTTTCCTTTGGTGATTTGTAGTTTTGGTGTCATTTTTAAGAAACCATTGCCTAATCTAAGGCCATGAAGATTTACCCTTACATTTTCTTCTGAGAATTTTGCAGTTTTTGCTCTTACATTTAGGTTTGTGGTTCATTTTGAGTTAATTTTTGTATGTGGTATAAGGTGGGGGTCCACAAGCAATTCTTTTGCTTGTGTATGTCTAGTTGCCCCAGCAGCACTTGTTGAAAACTAGTCTTCTTCCATTGAATGGTCTTGGTACCTTTGATAAAAGTCAACTGGCCATAGATAGATACATGGAGTTATCTTTGGATTCTCAATTCTAATCTGTTGGTCTGTATGTCTATTATTATGCCAGTACCACATTGTCTTGGTTATTGTAGCTTTGTATTATGTTTTGAAATAAATGTGAGTTCTCCAACTTTGTTCTTCTTTTTTCTTTTCTTTTTTTTTTTTAAGAGACAAGGTCTCGATCTGTCACCCTGGAGTGCTGGATCAAATTGGTGGGATCATAGCTCACTGCAGCCTTGAACCCCTGGGCTTAGGCAATCCTCCTGCCACAGCTTCCCAAGTAGCTAGGACTAGAGGCACATGCCACCATGCCTGGCTAATTTTTTGTAGAGATGGGGTCTTGTGACATTGCTCAGGCTGTGTTCTTTTTCAGAGTTTTTCTGACTATTCAAGGTCCCTTGCATTTTAATTATTTTTGTTATAAGTAAATATAAATAAAAACCAATCTAAACTCTTTGTGCTTATACAACTACAAAACTGAAACAAATTTACAAATTAAATACAAGCACATCTACAAAACTAGTAACATTCAGATTGACATAATTTAGTATGATAGCTGATGCTGTTTCTTTGAAATGGGATTACATCTTTAAGGTGAATATGGAGTTAATTACAGGTTTCTTGGGTTTGATGCGCCTATGCTGTTGTATGTTGGGTGATAATGTAGTTTTTTTTTTTTAAACCATGTTTTCTTTTTGAACCATTAGAAGTTTCCCTTTTTGTAGCATATTGTGACATCATTTATCCTCATATGGTGCGGATGCCTGATTCATATTTTTCCCAACATTTTGTTATGAAAGTTTCCAAACAGATAACAAAGTTTAAAAAATTTTACAGTGAACATAATGTATACCCACATCCTAGATTTTATCTGCATTTTACTATACTGCTTTATATGATTTACATTTTTTTTTTAATTTTTTTTATTTTTTTTATTTTATTTTTATTTTTTTTTTATTTTTTTTTGAGACGGAGTTTCACTCTTGTTACCCAGGCTGGA